TTAAGCCTTTTAATTTTTTTTTTTATTTCCCTCTCGATATCGTACCCATATTTAAAAGAAAAAGAATTCCTAATTTTAATAATACAATACCGTGAAATTATAAGATAACAAAAAAATATCCTCTTCCCTATCTTTGGTAAGGTAAAATACATAAATAAAAAATTTGGCTGCCAATTAAATTAGGCTTAAAATTTGGTAAACACATGGCTTAACATATGTCAATTCTATATATAAATATGAGTTAAATAGGAGTTTGAAGTCTAAAGGGTAAAAAAGATTATCAAAAATTTTAAAAAAGTATATCGATTTATTTAATCAGAAGAGGAAAATCGTTATTGAGAGAGTGATTTTATTTTAACGTCGGTCTCAAAATTTTCAAATTCGCTGATCTATCAGCAATTTTATTCATATTTTTTTCACTTTTTTAAATAAAATCACTGCCCAAACAGTCTTTTAAGCAAATTTTAATTTTATAAAGAAAAAAAATTGGATAATCGCTGCTTCGCGGCGATTTCTGCGTAAGTGGTGCTTTTTTTTTTTTTATTGATTGCTGCCATTGCTGCCTTGGGCAAAAGAAAATTATTTAAATATATATATATATATATGCCAATAATTTTTTAACAAATTATTTAATGTTGGTAATTTTTTTAAAAAATAATTAAAATCAGCCTTTATTTAAAAAAAAGTTCTTTTAAATTAAAAAAAAAACGCTTTTAGTAAATATTTCTGTAAAAAATATCGTTGTCAATTATTTTGTTAAAAAATTCATATTAAATATTGGTAAATTTTTTTAAATTTTGATCAAAATAAAAATTGTATTACAATTCTCAGTGCTAAATTTAAAAAATTACAATTGTAGCGTATGTATATTAAAAAAATAAATTAAAAAGGCAGCGTTTTAGTGAATTCTTTTTCTTGTCCGTAATTTTCTTGATTTTTCTAAATAAAAGATCGCAGCTTGGTGAAACTTTTTTTTTTAAAAAAATAAATCAGTGCCAATCTTTTTTCTTAAAATCGTAAATTATTTTCTTAAAAGAATTATCAACATTTAATATGATTTTCTTTAAAAAATTGGCAGCTATAAATTATAATTTTATGGAAATTCGATAACTAAAACAGCAGCTAAGATTTAAAAAGAAAAAGAAAAAGAAATCCACAGAAAATAGCTGCCAATAAAATTATCACTTAAATCGGTGCAGTAGCAGCGATTTAAAAAAAATATTTTTTATAGAAATGCTGCAGTAGCAGTGATTTTACTTTCGCTATTAGTATAGACTAATGATGTGAAAACAAAATCGCTAATCAATAGCGATTTTGCCCTTTTGGTTAAAAGTTGATGTATCCCTTTAGAATTTTTAAATTTTTTTTTGCTCTTTAGGCTTCGAACTCAGTTAAATAGGCTCATTTCATTAATATGAGCTGAAATTGTTATTTATACCCTCAACATTCTCATCTTTACAATAGTACCTCATTACATACAATATAATCAGTTTAACTATCGCTATAGAAATTACCTTTAAATTTTAATGAGATCTTTCTATCACACAAGATTGAATTTTAAAATTTTTAAGAACTTTGCTTTATTTATTAAATTTCGTACCAAATCAAATTATCATAAATAAAATGAATTAAGAAGTAATAATCTTTTCTTTTAAAGCCAATATTGACCACTTGGACAAAAAAGTCTGCAAAAGATTAACAACCTCACAAAATGTATTGACAAACAAGAAACAAGTTGCTCAAGCATCGTGTTTTCTGCCGCAAAAAATGTCATATATGTGTCCTATCTCCTAAGCTTGGTTACAAAACATGAACAATCGAAAACAACAAACTAAAACTGATTTTCTAATCCAGCTCACTACATTATATGCATCTTGTGACTCGAAATGCGTTTGGGTTTGTCCTTTTCTTTCTTTTGTTGCTATTAATAAGTTCAACTACAGAAAAGGTATCCATCCTTTTATACTTTTTTTTTATATAAAATAAATAAAATAATGTTAACCAGTTCTTTCTAGTAACGAAAGTATAGACGTAGCCTAGTCTAATACATACATATTCATAATTCCTCCACAAACTGTACTTTAAGTTTTATCTATTCGAGAAATTTTAATAGCTAAATTGATTGATCATTTGATATAACTTTTATCTGATCAATGAGAATGCGATTCTCATCTTGTTATTAATTCCCTTTGCTCGGTCCATTTATTTCCCAATATAAATCGGCTGAATTCGTACTTGGTTCATATATTTGAGACCAAACCAATATTATTTATTACAAGTTGCAGATCAACCAGTTGTTACTATCGGTTGAGCAGGACTAACTACTCACTGATCTATGCAAAATTGATATCTATTGTTGGATAGTATTGCAAGAATTGATAGGAAATAGAGGGGAAAAAAAAACTTAAAAGTTGCGAATTTGAATCTTATATTTTAACGAAAAAGACATTTGTCCCTCATCGATGGTGGAAAGTAAAATAGGAGAGTTTAAATATAGAAACACTCCTATCAATAGTTAAAAGGGTTGAAAAGAGAGACCCCTTTCCGTCATTGCTTGGCTTTGGCTATGACTATGGATGATCAAGATATGTTTTTTAGACAAAGTTTGTTTTAATTATTTAATTAATTAAATTAAAAGTCCAAAAATATTTTTAATTAATTAATTGACGTTTTAAGTTAAAATACTTAACCAAAACGTTTCAATTTTTTAGTTGATTAACCCGATCTAACTCAGATCCGCGCGCGACCCATTTTATTTGAACTTTTCCATTTTATTTAAAATTTCTGCCATGAATGTTCTGAAAGGTTGCAACTTTCAGGAACAGTTAGTACCATTTGAAAGGTTGCAAACTTTCATTAATGGTTGTGTGGATTCTAAAAGGGTTGCGACCTTTCGGAACCAATTATTCTTACCTATAAATATCATTCATTCTTCGGAATATTTCCTTACGAATTTTCTAATTTTCTTCTTCTTCTTCTGCACTGATGTCAGCGAACCAATCAACAGCAGAAGTTTTTGATATTTTCAAACCTCGAATATTAGAGGAGAATAATTTGCTTAAGGGGACACTGTGAGTTCAGTGGAGTTGATCTTTTTCCTATTTAAAAGTTTTTCCATAGTCTGATACGTTTTATAAATTTTAGTTTTTTATTGTGAATTAAATTTCTGTTCATCTCTTTTACTGATTTAATAAATTTTAATTACTTAATGTTTCTGAAAAAATTTATTATAATCATTAATTTCAATTTTTCTAACACAAATTGACAACATCTATAACGTTATTGTCTCAATGTCAATGATTCCATTTGATTTGATGTAAAGCAAACATATTTGAATGCGCGTTTGTTTGCAACATATCTTGATCCTATAAAAAATGACTGTAATTAGAAATAAATATAATTCGATTAATTTTTTTATTCTTCTCTTTTTATTATTTTCGTGATTCAAGAGCTACAATGTCTGAATCGACTAGGATGACGTAGGTCGCCGCAAAGAGAGGACTTTGGATTTCTTATTTGTCAAGAAGAATCTGATCACATCTTAATCTTTAATATTTTTTGATTTTAAGTAAGATCTTATAAATTTTTATTTTGAAAAATGTATTCGACTGTTTTAGAAATTGTTAACGTTATACTATCAGCAGCATATAGTTATCTTATAGAGAATTAAGTCGTTTTTATCTAATTGAGTGTATTGATTAGAATATTATTGTCTACTCATACTATTTCAATATCACTTTCAATTTGTAAAACAAGTCTTCAATGTTGGAATGAGTCTTTTGTCTTAATAATGCCAAAGAAAATAAATACTTTTTTAGCTTTTTATTGTTGTGCGAGATATGCGGTGAGGCACTCTAAATGATTTGCATCATGGTCATCGTATCAAAATCACTTTTATTTATTATGTTCAGTGTCAATATTGTACGTTTTACTTTGCCCGTGCTTCATTGGCTTTACCCAAAAGCTCGAATTATAGAATATCTATAAGAGGTGGCTCATGGCTGTGCAGTGTACAGTGAGTGTCGTTTACTGGCTCTCAGTAACACCCAAAAAATGTTCAACTTTATACTATTTCATATTTATGTCTACAATCACTCCATCGGCCCCACAGATTATTACTTTGATTTCCTATACAATTTGGCTTCTTTCTTTAAAATGAAACAACGACAGAAAATAAATATATTCGGACTTGGCATAAACATTATTTAGTTACGTATTTGGCATAAAAATCAAATTAGATCCATACACCTTTAAAAAAAAGAAAAAAAAAGACATAACATGTCATTACTGGAGGCATAATTGTGTTATTTATTATCTCTTTTCCAACAAATATATACATTGTGCGAGACTAATGCATACAAAATCATTGGTTTGGTTACTGTCACGAGTTCCAAGATTAATTATTATGCAAACAAAACCTTTTTGGATTTTTTTTACTATAAAGTATCGAAAGCAAAGAAGTATTTCCACTATCTCTTAAACACAGTCTATATTGTTCAACTCTTATCAATACCCACTGTTCATTGACATGGAGTAAGATGACGACTTCCTTCAATAACAATGTAAGTGATAAAGAAGCTCAGCACTCGTGCTTCGAAGAATGGATGGAGCTCCAACAACAAGACCTCTTGGAGCTTATTCACAATTCCGACTCCTCGTCATCGTCCAGCACCTCTAACACTAGCGCCAGCAGTGACTTCAACCTAAAACAACTCATTGAGAAATCCATCAAACACTTCCAAGAATACATTGACACCCGCAGACATTTGGCGTGTAGTGATGTCACTGCCTACCTTGCACCAACTTGGTGCACCACGCTAGAAAGCTCCATGCTTTGGATCTCCGGATGCAGGCCTTCCAGTTACATCCGTCTCCTTTATGCGATGAGTGGCAAAGAATTTGAATCCCATCTCTCCAACTATCTCCAAGGCAATAGATCCGGACACCTCAGCGGGCTCTTGACCGTGCAGCTGAACTCAGTGGATGAGTTACAGAGGAAGACAATAAGGCAAGAAGATCAGTTATCAAATAAGCTCGCCAGCTTGCAGGAGGAGATAGCTGATCAGCCATTTGCCATTATCGCCAATGAAGTGGGAAATCCTGGTGAAATATGTCGTGAAGCAGAGGAGGCCCTTGATAGACATGCTAAGTTTTTGGTGAATGTTGTAGAAGAAGCTGATAAGCTGAGGATGGTGACTTTGAAGGAGCTGATCAACATACTGAGTCCACTTCAAGCTGTGGATTTTCTCATAGCTAGCAAGAAGCTCCATCTTTGTGTCAATGCTTGGGGTAAAAAAAGAGATCATCAGCATGGGAGGAACAGAGAAACAAAACAAGAGAGGAACACATGTCCAACTTTATCTGGTCTTAAAAATTAAAATAAGGGAGTTAAACCGCTTATGTTATATAGAATAAATGTTTTGTTATTACTAAGTCGGCATTATTTTACCACTTCTTTCCAATCTTTTATGTTCTAGTGAAACTACCGATGAAGCTTAAAAAGACGTTGATCTACAGCAATAACTTTCTTAACATTTGAATCTTAAAATAGAGAGGAAAGTAGTTTCTTTGACGGGAAAATAACAATGATCAACTAACATCGACTAACAACACTTAACCTTCAATTAATCAAATTCTATGATTTTGAACCAATCACTAACAGAAGTCCAAAACAGTAACAAACATTTTAATCCTATGAAGCGCAAAACTGGGTGTCACAACGCCTAGATGAAAACATAAATCACTAAGGAAGTAGGAAAAGATCCAGGGGTTGCCTGAGGCCCTGAGAGCCGGGATGCTTGCCCTTGAAGATGAAGTAAACATGGTCGTGGGTATGAATGAACACTTTGCCCTAATTGGTTGGGGGTACGCAGGAGCTTAGTAGTTGCTAAGACGTTCAAAAGTTGGACATTTCTGAAATTGACATTCCCCAATGTGGGGATAAACTTGAAACACTTGCACACTTTCAAAAATTGTCGAGAATAGAGAAAACAATATGACAAGGCAAGGAGTAGCAGAAACAAAATTGTTCATCTTTGCATACATGTATATTTGTATACAGAATTCAAGTTTTATCTACTGAAACTACAAAAAAAATTCTTTTACACCATTAGTGCACTCTTACTGATCCAAACTGTTGTCCACTATCTTTTGTAAGTTACAAACTAATACACACTGCATTCACTTGCTCTCACATAGACATTTAAGTGTTCTAAACTTCCATGTAATAATTAATATACAGTTAGTGCATGAAACTTAAAACTGTTATCTTATATTATGGGAGCAAATGAATCAACACTCTGAAGATAACAATTCCCTACACTCGAAGATGCCCAAGATTTGGTAGAAATCTATTAAATGTATGTGTGCAGTGCAGTTTCAGTTTAAATTGGAATTGAATCTGTTTCTTCATGCTCTCTATATCCTAAAGCACAGTTTTTCAACAAAATAGCTTCTTTCACTTCATAAAAAATCCAGAAAACAAACTGCAATACATGGATATGCAGTTCGAAAAGTATTGTTTGCAACAAGTGATTTTCAATAATAAATAAAATTCAAAACTAATCAATGCACATAAATCGAAATCCAGCAAACTTTAGGGCTTACATCGAAGGAGTAATTCGGAAGAAGCAGACCTGTTGCGTATGAGCAGATAGAGAGAGAGAGCTGTAACAATGGCAGTCCGCAGCAGCATTAGAAAAATGTTTGTAAGAAAATAGAGATACCGAAAAGGGATTGAGGAAGAACGGGTTGGGTTTTTGGGCCTGCCTTTTTCTTTCATTACTGATATTAATGATAATTTAATTTTATTATTATGTATAGTAATATTATGAACTTGCAATAAATCAAAAGACATTAAGCATGCAAGAAAACCGTATTATGAATATTTTAAGATATATATTTGTTTGGTAATTAGATATTTAGAATATATATTATAAGTGGATAATAAATGTATTAGTTATGAATAAAATATGTAGTATATATATTTTATGAATTGTTTTTTGTTATACATATAAAACTTATAAAATAAGTGTTTACTAAAAAAAAATGTTATTACTATAGATCGTTCAAATTTCTTAATATGATATATCCATATGAATTTTTCAAAAATATAAAGAAGACTTTATCTCATATTTATGCTTTCAAATTTTCAATGAACATAAGTCTATCTTTGTACAAAATAAAATTGGTAATAATTGAAGTTATTTAATAAAAATTAAAATGGCCATTCAATTCAATTTGTCCTAGTTGGACTTCAAACTCAACAATCTTTTCTTTTGTTTTTCAAATATCATCAATCTCCATTGTACTCAATTAATTTAAGCTAATGACCTCAGTTCTCCATAGATTGAATCTAGAGAAGACGGAAATCAGTTTAGAGAAGATATTAGTATTTTGTATTCACTTAATCATATTACTTTATAATGATATGATATCGTTAGTGATGCTAGCTAATATTTCTCTGCTGTACTCAAGTTATTAGTAGGATACTATATTTTTTTCTTCTTTTGACCGTGTTATCAAAATACCAATTGTTTGTTTTTGTTTACATGTTATTTGAATCAAATCATCGGGTGCAAAGTCTGTGGAAGACTAATCTTGCAAACTTCTCCTCGCTTCTCTTAGACATTATCACCACAATCCACATATCCTCCGTTGAAACTTAAAAATTTATGATCGATACTCAATACATATTTGAGTTTTTAAACTTGTCATTTTTTACTTAGAACACTCAAAGTAAATCTCGTTTCAACTTAAATTATTTTGGTGTATGTTCATATTTGTCTATTAAATATTTAAACTAATTACATTAATTATATTATTTTCTTTAATTATATGCATATGTCTTACGAATATAATAGATTTTAAATATTTTTTTGTGTTTTTATTTTTTCATATTTTTAAACACTTAATGATAATTTAAACCGTCTCAAAAACAATTTATCAATATTCATGCCACAGAGATTAGTTGAATTAACTATTGTTATAATATCAATTAATATAATATAAGCATGACCTTTAAACTTTAAATGAAATGCATATCTCTTATCTAAACGTGCACGACGACGAAATTGAGGAAAGAATAATGGAGAGGAGTCAAATATTGCCATGCACAATTCAAAACTCCAAAAACATAAGTTGAAAAAAAAAACATGACCCAAATGAGTCAGATATGTTCCAATTTCCATGACTTGTCACTCAGTATGACTAGATCCGATTAATGTAGTGCTTTGTACATACTTGGTGTTTGTGTATTTAGTTGTGGTCAATGATCTCCGACTTTATTAGCAACATTAACATGTGGCTGCAACGTGTAACCCTTCTTCTTGACACGTTTCATTGTCATTACCTACACCTTCTCTACATGCATTCTCTCTCTTTTCCAAAATTGCCTCTTCACTCTTATTAAACATCACCAACCTTCACTTCGACCATTCATTCTATAACTGTAAAAATACATTTCATTTAATGACATTTTGATTAATATGAAATAGCCAGAGTACTACTTTACACGCTAAAACCTAATATTTATCACTGATATAAAGATCATATTTAAAAAGTAAATAATTTGATCAATATAAAATTAATAGACAATTTTACACTTGTTAATTTACTTGTATAATCATTTTTTATTATATATTTAAATAGCGATAAAATTAAAATTACTTTTTCATTTATAATTTTTTTCAAAATCAACCGTGTACAAAGATGGTATAACCGTGGGAGCAGAAGTTAAATTGGTTCCCCCACTACCCAAGTTCATTAAATAGTTGCGCGTAAGGCATGCAGAGGTGTCGAAGCCACGCAACCTTTTGTAGCATTGCCACTTGTTTTCTCGCTCTATATATTTTACTCTGTTTTTTCTTGGCAGTTAATTAATTAGTGCATTATTCTTCTCATATACAACTACTACGATTATCAAAAATGACGAGCCAAGTAGCGGAAAACTTCACAAAATACTTTGAAAATTGGATGATCCAACTTGAAGAGTTGCTGAAACAACTCGTTATTGTACCTAGGGAGACGTCATACGTGAATGATCACGAGTTATTGGTGAGTAAAATGACGACACATCACAAGAACTACTACACAGCCAAATGGGCCGCAGCTCATGAAGACATCTTAGCATTTTTCACTCCAATGTGGCTTAGTCCTTTAGAAATCGTCTACTCGTGGATCACAGGGTGGAAGCCTTCCATGGCGTTTCGATTAGTGAGTGGCGGTGGAGGAGCGTTTTCGGATGAGGAATTGAAGAATATTGATGGTTTGAGGGTGAAAATTCGCGGAGAGGAAGAGAAAGTGGAGAGGGAAATGGAGAGGCAACAGGTTGCAATTGGGGATAGAAAAATGGTGGAATTAGCAAGGATTAGAAATGATAATGATGAGTTGGTAGAATTGGCGTTGAAAGGGTTAAGGATGAGTTTAGAAAGGGTTATGAAAATGGCAGATTGTGTTAGGCTTAAAACGTTGAAAGGTTTGTTGGAGATATTGAGTCCTTTACAGAGTGTTGATTTCTTGGCTGCTATTTCTACTATTCAAATTCAGATGAGGAAAAGGGGAAGAAAAAGAATAAATGTTGATTAGCTTAGCTAGTCTCCAGATTTTATTTTGTGATTGTGTCAATTTCCTTTTATTGGAACGGCTTTTTTTTTTAAATTAGCTTGCTTTGAGTAGACTCTTATATTTTGGGAGCAAATGAATCAACACTCTGAAGATAACAATTCTCTACACTCGAAGATGCCCAACATTTGGTAGAAATCTGCAGTATTAGTTTAAATCGGAACTGAATATATTTCTTCATCCTCTCTAATATTATAATACATAGTAACAACTTCGTTTCACTTCGAAAAGTATTGTTTTCAACAAGTGATTTTCAGTATTAAATAAAATTCAAAACTAATCAATGCACATAAATCGAAATCCAGCAAACTTTAGGGCTTATATCGAAGGAATAATTTGGAAGAAGCATATCTGTTGCGGATGAGGAGAGAGAGAGAGCTGTAACAATGGCAGTCTGCAGCAGCATTAGAAAAATGTTTGTAAGAAAGCCATGAGATTCCGAAAAGGGATTGAGGAAGAACGGGTTGGGTTTTTGGGCCTGCCTTTTTCTTTCATTTTCGGAAAAATCACTTAGTTCAGTAAATAATATAACAAATATTTACCCATTTTAGCAATATTTTACTTTTATTATTATTATTATTATTATTATTATGTATTGCAATACATAATAATATTCTGAATTTAAAGTGATTTTGTATGCAAGACACATGTATTGTGAATATTTTAAAATATATGTCTCATTGCTAATTAGATATTGACAAAAATATATTATACTTTATAA